TTAAAATCTCTTTCTACTGCTATGTGCTTAATTAACAATAACTCATTATTGATATCATCTTGTTTACAACATAATTTTAGTATCCTATCCACATAAGAGTAAAAAAAATAGGTTTTTTGAAATGTAGTGTGACATGATTGTTGATGAGGCAGAATGATTACAGAGAAAGGTTTATGATAAATGGTAGTTTCCTTATTATCCTTATTTTTACTCACTAAAACATCCAAAGAAGATAAACAACCATTTATCCAAACTTCATAATTAAATATTATAGAATTATCAATGTTATTAAGGTAATTAGCAAAATTAGCTAGTTCATCTTTACCATACTGCCAATCAAAAGTGTCATCCACATACCTTAACCAAACTTCGGGTTTTTTTATCTGCTTTTTCTAGTGCTTCACTTTCAAAATTGTCCATAAATAAATCACACAATAACGGAGATAAAGGAGAACCCATAGCTAAACCCACGTTCTGTTTATAAACTTTGCTATTAATTTGGAAAAATGGGTTTTCAACACATACTTCTACCAGGTTAATCATATCCATAACTTCTAAAACTGAATTATTATTTTCTTTAGTTTTTAGTCAAAAAATTCAAGCTTTTTTTTTTCACTGGTAATTTGGTAAACATTGAAACATCATCAAACGACACCAAAATATATTTTTTTGATCTAAAATTATATGCTCACTTCTTTCCACAAATTCTTAACCGTTTATTTATGTTTATCCCTTAAAAATTATAATTTTTTAGATATCAGTTTTGCTACATTATAAGTTGAACTCTTAATATTGGATACAATAGATCTGAAATTATTACCAATCTTATGAACTTTAGGCAAGGCATATAATCTAGGTAAAATAAAGTTACTAGGAGTTAAACTTTGCTTTTCATAAGGTGTTAGGGTTATACAACTCTTAATTTTTTCTTTAACTATTGTATGGAGTTTATTTATAAGATTAAGTTTAATGTATCATACGGACCTTCTTTCAAAATTTCTTAAACTTTAGAATTGTAATCAATTTTATTAAGAATAACAGTTTGTCCCCCTTAATCAGCCTTGCAAATGACAACATCTTGTTCCTTTAAATTTTTCAAAGTTCTTTTTGTTATCATTTTTGAACTGAAAATTATTTAATAAAGTGCAACACTTGCTTCTAACAATATGAACTTTTTCATCATTTCATTTTTTTAAAACCTTTTATTTGGGACCTCTATTTAAAAAATCAATCTGTTTATCATTTAGTAATTTGAAGACTGGAAACAATCTCATTTTTATAGAATTGTATATAAAGAAATCATTGTTTTTTAAAAATTGAGTTTTTTTTTACATTGAATATTACACACATGCTAATTTTTTTTTTAAATACTACGCATTTCACTTTTGTACCAATGAAATGTTTTAAATTTTTATAAGTTTTAATCGAGAATATCCTAATTCCAAGTGAAATCGTGATAAGTTCAATCTGAGTTATTACGTTCTGTAGACTGTATGGTTAATAAACTTGTGTACTGTTATGTGAATGCATTTTCCAAGCTGGTGAAGCATTATTATAGTTAATTATACTTGTCATATGACATTAATATTAAACCTATTATATTTTTTAACATTAATTCTTACTCATTTCATTTTTTAAATTCAGTGTAAAATACTCAACAATAGTCCCAACATTTCAGCAATTCCTCGTATCTAAAAAAAGTTTAATTTTTATTTTGACTTCAACAAGAGATCATCTCTTTCATTTAAACTGCGCTTAAATGCTACACCTCTCCTTCAACAAACTAGATCCTCTATAATATTGCAAAGATAAAGTAACTATAAGCTAAGTTTAATCTCCAAATTACCACATCATGTTAACTTATGTAGGAGAATATCAGTGAAGACAAACATGGAAAGAATAATTAAATGGTTCATTAACAAAAGCATTATAGCAACTGGTGGATAAACAAGGTGTTAATTAACATATGTACCTATCTAAAAATGAATCCTTTGTTTTATCTCAATATAGAAAAATGTTATCAGGATATACAAATATTATATTCAATTTTCTAACACACATATATTTCAACCTTAAAATAATTATAGAAACGTATATTACAGGTAATTGTAAACCCATTTCTGTAACATCAATATTACTTTTGCTGTTAAGAAACACCACAGCAACATTTTACAGAAATACCCATCCATACAGCTTAGATAACCAAGCAACTTGTTCATTGTTGTAATTTAATAAAGCCTCTATATTAAAACAAACACAAAAATTACATAGCAAATTGGTTAGGTTTTTTGAGAAGTATGAAGTATCTGGAAAGGTACTGTACATACATAATAGCTTAAATAGTTTATTATGTATAAATAAAATATTTATTTAAATCTTAAGAGCTTTTCTTACTTCTTGCATAGTTATAGCAACACTTAACACACACACACACACATATATATATATATATATGACATTAATTTCTTTGAAGATGAATCACTTACTCTAGTAATGTGGCCTTCAGTTTCTATGTACATCATAATTTTGTCTATCTTTGTGATAAAATGTAAAAACCTACCAGTATAGTTGGAAATAAGTAATATTCTGAATTAAATTTTTGTTTCCATCGATACCACTTAGGAGTTTTCTTTCTTAGAATTTGAGGCACGTCTGAATAACTTATATGGTAAAAATCTTAACAATAACCAAACCAACTTGGCAGACTTTTGAATACATATTATACCAGAAGTAGTTAACAATATTATTAAAGAAATGCCACTAGCTTTAAATTACAATTGGATTATGTGTTAAGAACATAGAAATGTTATTTTTTTAAATATTCTTTTCAAATATATTTTTTATTTGCATGATATCTGTATACTGCAGAAAAGTTCAATAAAATGAATTAAAAGTACATTTCCAAATTTAATGAGCAAGTAATTACTACAATTGTACTTTCTGTACTCCAAAACATTGTTAATGTGAACACATTTGTAATGACCTAATGCATCTAGATTATCATGACATCCAGACAGTTGAAACAGTTATTTTGAAAACAATGGACACTATTTTATAGCATGCATTACCTATTGATAAATGTAAGAGTTCAATGTAGTAATTACAGGCATGCAACTGGCAACTGATAAACAAAGCAACTGTATGTATGATAAATTTATCAGTTTGTTATTCTACACCTCATTAATAACACAGGCCTGTAAATTTAAACTTCATAAAAGTTGTTTTGGTTTTAATAATGAATTTTCCATAATTCAGCTATGCAGATTTCAAAAATAATTCATTTTTTCTATCATGTAAGGATTTTTT